ATGTGCGCTGTATTGCGAAAGGTTTGGTGTCTCTAACGTTTTTTACCGCATTGAAAAACATAGATTTTCTAGAAAGTTATAACACGTCAAAGTGAGAACTCGTAAAACGCGCATTACTTTTGCACCTTATATTAGGTTGTCCCGAAAGTTTTGTCTTTTTTTTCATACCACTATAAAACCACGCACAGTAGAGACCTGTTTGAGTTTCAAGACGCATTCGATGCAGCTCTTCCTCCTCTTTCTTATGAATACATTTTCGAATCGCAATCCTGTATGCTTTTTTTGATAAGTGCCACAATTCTTCACCCGCCATTTTCATCTGCTCTAGTTAGGCTAATTTTCAAAATTTTCGTTCCAAAGTTTCGGAGAGGTTTGAGTGAATAGAGATTCCAGGACTTTACCTGGATGTTTTTAGATTCTCCTGGTCTGCTGTATTTAGCTTTAAAAAAGTATTTCTTCGGAGGCCTTCATTTTTAGCAAAGTCATGAAACACGCAACTGCAGCAAAAGCGAAAAAACTTTTGAATTTTCTGCCAATTCAAGTTTGATTGTTATTAAACATCATTTATGCAACCTAACCAAGTTTGATTTGCTTTAAAAAATCAGCGTTTTGGAATTTTTGGTACTTTTACGTGTTAAACTTATTCAAAAAGTCGGTTTTTAAAATAAATAATTATAACGGACTTAGTAAGCGCGGTTCATGTGATCTAAAATAGATACAATGTAGCCAAAGGTTTGCTCCACATAATAGTCACCAGCGCTCTTCGAAAATATCAGCATGAAAATTTTTAAAATTCAGGAAAAATTTGTTGTTACTGCTGAGCTGCTCAAAAAGCCATGGCGATAACATCGCAAAGACGCGGTAGATCAGAAAACAAATATAGCTGTGAGAAAGAGAATAAAAATCTGAATACAATGATACCCTAAGTCGTTTATGGATTGGTGTTCTGTGAGTTTTGGTTAGCGATGAAATAAACCGACAAAACTTTCGGGACAACCTAATATATCAAAATGCAACCAGTTCTAGGCTTTGGGAAATAATCCATCCCAATCACGTAGGTATTATTATCGGAAAGTTAACAAATATGCTCAACTTTTTGACTACTTATTACGTGTCTCATATGAGAATGACGAATTGTTCAAGTTTATATTCAAGATAAAGGCATAAGCGTAAGATTTAATTCAAAAAAGGAATCAGAAAAAAAAGGTGCTCCATGTAATTTGCGTTCTTTGCTGTGGAGCTTTGTTTACCATCCAACACCTTTCATTGCTTTCTCAAAGTATGCCATTCTCTAGAGCGAAAATTGTCACTCTCCAAGCTTGTTTTGCTGTCATCTTTCTAGACACACGTTCTGGATGTCCTGTTTCTCAAAATTTATGATGTCTACAGACTTTTTATATGAAAGAAGAGTTGGGTTTTGAGTACTGGCGATATTTAAGATTTTAACCATTTTATTTTTCACCTTTGCAGAACGTCTAATCAGTTCAAAAGAATGGGGTGACTTGCTGCTTTAGTAAGGTCGGCTTTCAAATTTGTCTATTTTAGGGTTCTGCTATCACCTTATCTTTCATATCGTCGTTATTGATTTTACTTTCTTGATTCCGCTCTATGTGAGTTGCTTGTGTGGTTCTTTTTGATTTCTTTCTTTGTTTTTTTTTTGTGGGTTCTAAATCATCACCAACTGAGGAAAAATCATAATGTGAACGCTAGTTATTGCTGGATCAAACATTTCTTTCTTTCTTGCACAATAGAGCAACAAATTTAACCTCTGCACATCCCTACCCTAATGTGCTTATGTATCAACCATATCTTACATTTTAACTTTTTTCCCGTAGAAACTCATTTCTTAAGCATGATGTGAGATGCGTTTCTTTTGTTCATATTTGGCAAGCTTTGTGACTCATTGCTGCTATACAAGAGCAGAGAACTCCCAAAAATTGATTGAGGCATATGATTCACTTTTGGCAATTTATTTATAAATTCGAGAGTTCTGCAGTGAGTTTACTTTCTCACCACATGACACATTCGATCATTTTCTAAATTTCTTTTTTGTACTTTGTGCTTGTAAGTACTTGTTTTTTCGTCACCCTTTCTTTTCCGTCTAGTCACTTCCTTTCTTTTCGAACTTTTTTTCCCGTCTAGGTCGTTTCCGTTCATTCTTTTCTTATCAAATGGCGATGCAACCCAATGGATGGCAATGTACACTCACAAGCTGTCGCATTACTTGAGATTCGTTTACATTTTCAATTTTATTTTTAAGAGCTCACCTGAAAGGCTTTGCCATATTCCTCCAAATTATTGCTACGTCTAGAACACTGGAAAAATTGCAGTCGCATATTTTTAGGATAAGCAAGCTCCTGTTGTGGATAGAACCGTAGGTAGACGTCATTCCAAGTTATATGTCACATTTGATGCATTTATGTTGTTTTTTCCATCATGTCAATATGTTGAAGCTGAAGTCTGGTGCAATTTCTTCTTGGTTCGTAAATTTGAATGCGCTAGACCATTCCGATGCTACTGCTACTTAATACTTTGATTGCGCAGTTAGTAGTGCGTCAAGGTCTACTAGGCAATTATACTATTTCTATTTGTCTCTGGACGTTCATTCACCGATTCCTTATTACGAACTACTTGTAATCATCATGTGCCCTGTTTCAATCAGTTATCTTCAAGAGTTTTTTGAAACCTACGTCGTCTGACTGTAGAACACATATCAGGAAGCGTCTATACCAGTCATTCAGCTTTCGTTGTCTTAGATCAAGTATAGCTGGAGTGCATTTGGAATCAATCATTTGACTGACATCTGACTACTGATGATCTTAGCGCAGAATTGGTAGAGATTCTGTTAGAGGTTTCCCGAAAGCTGTGGATGAATAACGCTTTATCAGATCATCAAGTTGAAACCGAATTGTTACTAGGTAAGTAGTGGTCGTCAGGGAGATAGCGATCTGCATCTATATCTAACCGGTAAGGGGGTCAAGAAAGGCGAGGATGGGTATTTTCAGATTAGCAAACTTGCACTAGTTTTCCTCACGACTACTACTAGGTTGTTTTAAAAGTTCTGTCCGATTTGCGATTTTTCTGAAATCATATAACTTTTTCCAAAATCATCAATTTTATACAAATTAAATTTTCTTGAATTAAACGAGCTTATGGTTATCACAAGCACTGTATGCCTTGTGAGGAAGGCTAGGAGAGAGAAGAGAAGATTTTTCGAATTCTGCAAGGCTTTCTTCAAAACCAGCAGAGTTCGACTTACTAATGCTTCCAGATGAGGATGAACAGACATATTTGGCTGCCATCATTAAGTCCTATACTTCAAAAGTTCTTTTGTTTGCTGCATAAAAATTTTGGCGAGCAAACCAAAAAACCCTATTATTTGAGCCCTCCTCCGCGTGCGAAAATATGGCGACTTTCCAATATTTGATTTTTTCTTCCTCTCGCAAACGAAAAAAGCCAATTGGTCGACGGCTGCTTGCCCTCGCTTTACTCTAATATATGCTCTATGTAGATTGTTGTCGCTTGTTGAATAATTGGGTTTGTCTTCCATCTTTGAAAATAATTGTAAAAGTAAGACATTCTCTACGCCGGAGGAAAAGTGTGCTTATGTTAGATCATTACACCCTTAACCATTATAAATTATCATGTGTTTAGTTCTACTAATACTGCGGAAGTCCCCTTCATGGAAATCTTTTCTTGAGCATGACTGCATTTTAGCAACTTTGCTTCGGGGCTCAAAATTTCATCACAGGAAAGTTGATTCGCCAAGCATCAGTAAGCGCTAGAAAGAGCAAGAAAAATACTTCTGGACGATGGTTATGACAGTGCCATAACTGCAAAACCCTTAGAAAATAGCTGCGTTAAAACAAGGCAATTGAAAATCGCACAGAACTTTTGAAACAGCCTAGTACAAGCACCTCACCCTATCTCTACGCTTCATTTCCGCCTGTGCAATGCTTACACAAACCGGAAGTAATCACCAGCGTAATTTATCCAATGAATTTCGTGCAGCGGATACAATCTCCCCCCCCCCCCCCTCTCTCGAGAATGGTTCCCAAAATTCTTGGAATTTACTTACATCCGCTATAAAGATGTGCAAGTGACACAGTGTGTTTACACATGTTAGAATTTAGAATAATCTTAAAAAGTTTTACAAATTTTTATCGTCGCGAAAGTTTTTGCGCAGATTTTCAAAAATTCATAACTTCTGATTTTTCCGACCGATTTGACTGCTTTTGCCTTTTTATGAAAGTAAGTCATGCTTTTTATAATTACATCTTAGTTGCTTGTTAATGCTCATCTATTGCATAGATAGGAGCGGTAGAAAGTTAATCAAAATCTGAATTTTCTGTATAGGTTCATAAGTCGGAAGCTTGCAAAAAAAATCGGAGCAGTTGGTATTGTAGGTTCTTTCACCAGCTCTTTTTAACAGCGCAAAGTTTGCGCCGATTGAGCGTCTCTATGAAAAGTTATGATTTACGAGAAAAATGTCATAAATCAAAATATCCTTTTTGTATTGCGTGCTCAAAAATCATAACTTTTGATAGAGACGCTCAATCAGCACAAACGACCCTACACAGAACACCTTATGACCCTACACAGAAAACTCAAATTTTGACCACTTTTCTTCTATCGCTCCTATCTATGCAACAGAAGACCATTAATAAACAGCTAAAATGTCATTATTAAGAGCATGACTTACTCTTTCATATAAGAATAAATCCGGTCAAATCGGTTGTAAATATCAGAAGTTATGAATTTTTGAAAATCGTGCGCAAGAACTTTCGGGACGACCTAATAAATTAGCCTTGTGAAGTTTGAAGTTTTGCTGGGGCGTGTGGCTGCTGGTCCCATTTTTTTATAGAATTTTAGGATCATGAGCCCGCGAAAATTTTGGTAGGCATCCCAAACAATCTTCCGGGGTGCGTGGCTAACGCCAATCACTTTGACTCAAGAAAGCCCTCCTCCCCCTGTTCAAAAATCCTGAGACCGCCCCTGCTATGGAGGATAGGCTGTGGATGATTTTTGAGGCTTTGACGATAGAGCCAGTTATGTTGGTATTTAGAACCTATAGGCCTTTTTGGTGTACATACACATGAGTGGACAAAAATTGTTTGTTTTTTCTCAGTTATTGTCACTGTCCTCAAATCAAGCCTTGAAATCTCAGAATTTGGATAACCGAGATTTTTTCTATATCAAGCATTTAGTTCACCGGCTTTGATCTAATTCAAACATCTATATTCACTTATGAGTGGCTCTTGATCTTGTAAATGAAGTATTTGCCAATCTTCCCATTCATTCCGTGTTTACAATCAGTATTTTGAACTTGTCCCTGTAGACTAGTAGATTGCCCTTATTTGCATGAAAAACTCTAATCCAATACACTGTACTAACTACAACAGAGAGATGAGGACGTGTGAATTGATGATGTGGCAGCTGCATGTCCATGACATCAAGCACAAATTCCATGTATGGTCTCTCCCCTTCCCGCAAATGTTATAAATCATTCCGTAATAGTTTCGTTTTTATCGACGTTATCGCGCCAACACCTACTTCCATGACGACATTCCGTCTTCATCATTCATTCGTTCTTCAAACTTTTCTTTCTCTAAACTTCCAAGAGAGTCTGTTCGTGAAGTGTTGATTTCTGCGCCGATATAAATGTTATGCTTCTTTTTCGCTTCATCAACTCTCCTTGACTTCGCATATCTTCGATCTTCGAACGTTTCGCTCAACGCAGGAGCTTGCGATGTCCTGGACAAATGTATGCTTGGAATGCTAATGTTTATGTAACCTCCTTCAGGTGACATTATAACAAGGCGCATCAGGGCTGTCATTGCTTCGTTCAGATTCCATATCACCTCTAACATGGCGACTAAGCCTAATAAACGTAAGTCGTTAAGCTTTTCTTTACAGAAGCAAGATGTGCTTGATATAGTGGCACTTTTCAGAAGACAATGTCATTAAGTACTCATCGTTGTTGGTTCTTGTTCTGCAGAACACCTCCTTGGTGTTGTTTATGCGATATGCTATGACTGGAAACAGACCAAGATTTCTCAAAGTGAGCATTACCCTCTAGTTCTAATCATAGTAGTCACGCATGTAATTTTAAAATACTTGATTCAGACCTTAAAAGAGCTAAGTCTCGTAAATGAAAGAAAACGCCCTCAAAATGACTCATGTGGGATCTTTGGCTCAAATATCGTCATTTTTTTCTGCAAGTTTTATTAGCCTTACATTTAACAGACCTTACATATTTTGGTGCTTATTGTTAGTAGAAAAAAAATGAAAAATGGGCGCTTGTTTAGGGTTGTACGAGCGAAATTGTAGAGCTTGCAGTGAGACTTGCACTCTACTGTAAGCGTTTCAAACAAAGTGATACATCTTTCTTGCATTCATAACAGGTTTTCGGGATCTGTCACGTATAATATTATCTTGCCATATTATCTGATCGAAATTACTAAATTTCGGCAAAATTCATTTTTTGGGTGTCGTTTATCACGGCTCGGCACAGGTGGTTTGTAAGCCAGCTGGTATCGTTTTTTGGGACAAAAAGCAAAGGGGATTTCGTTTTTGTGACCGAAGAGACACGGAAAATTGGCGACGGCGACCTTTTTTTTTAGTCGACGTTTCGTTTTTTGGGGGATTTTGGGGAATTTTTCAGGTATTTAGAGGAAATTTGGATGAGGGTCAAAGGGAACTTCGTAAAAATTCCCAAAAGTCAAGGGGGACTTCGTTTTTTCCATTTTCATCTAGCCACCTCGTGCCGAGCCCTGTCGTTTATTCGTTCAATCTTCAAAGTCGTGCTTGAATGTGCACCCAAGATCGCTCAAAGAGACTTCTTACAATTTAGAATAGGTTAGTTACCAGAAGCTACCACAGTGCAGCTTCTTGGTACCCCAAATAAGTAATTTCAAGAAGAAACTCCAAGAAATTGTGTTGGGACTGTGCATTTGGCTGCATGGACAGATTGAGAGGTACCACGGAATTATCATTCCAAATCGTCAATTCCAATCGCATTGGTCGATCAAATGTGACTATTGAACAGTCGGAGCTGTGCATAAAACAGCATGATTACACAATGGCGGTCCCAGGATTTCCGTTAAAGGGGGAGGGGACGACAAAAAAATTTTCTTAAATGAAGGTGCGTGGCGTTAGCCATACACTCCGAAAATTTTTTCAGGATGGTTCTAATTTTTTGCGAACCCATAACCACTAAAAAAACTTTCTTCTGTGGCTAATCTAAATATTTAGGTAGAAATTATTTTGATGATTTGTAAGAATGAACAAATGAATTGCACATTTTTGTAACTCATGTGTAAATTTCAAAAGTTTGGCTACTCATTCTCGGGGGACGGGGGCCCTCCCTCTTTCGACACTGGTGCCACACTCTCACAACTTTCTTTGCATGGCAAGTGTAAAATCGAGCGAACTTCTTTTTTTTGAGAATTGCTTGATCTCTCTATTTTTTAACATTTAGTGCCCAGCAAGTTTAACTGCTCTAAGTTCTACTCGGATTACCCTAAACAGAAAAAAGCAAAATTTGGAATTAATTCAAAAAATACTTTATCTCGGGAATAAAGTGACAACGAGCGATGAAAAGGTATTCAAAAAATACTTTATCTCGGGAATAAAGTGACAACGAGCGATGAAAAGGTAACCCTATTGCAAATTATGGGAAGATAAGAAGACGCTTCGAAAATGTCTTTTGACGATGTTTCCTCGAGCGATAACCCGACAAACCTTCACCGAAATTTTTTTTATTTATTTACAGCTTCAGGCGTGACATGTTGAAATACAAGTGTCATGTAAACCATGATTTTCCAAAACTCTATTTTTAGGCTATCTCGGTCTTTTTCGCCGAAATATTCAAATTTGTCGCCAGTGTCGTGCTTGTCTGTTTACAGGAGCGGAGCATCAGAACGTAAGTGCTTGATTATTGTTATCAAGCTTCACTTTTCATGAAAACCATCTTTAGGGGTGTAGCACAAATTTATGATCAATTTGTAAATCACTGGCAAGATTTCCTTAGAGTCTTGGTGCCAGCTGTGATTTATACTATTCAAAATTTTCTTTTATACGTTGCTGTTGAGAATCTGCCTGCGGCTACTTATATGGTAAGGGTTTAGTGAGCTTTTTAACGTATCTGAACCATTTTTGTATTTCAGGTCACTTATCAATTGAAAATCTTGACTACTGCCGTATTTACTGTGTTGGTATTGCACCGAAAGCTATCCATCCAACAATGGATCTCATTGTTTTTCCTCTTTGGCGGTGTAGCCATTGTACAGTATGTAAGTAGCCAGTGATTCCACTTTTTAATTTTTTCCATTGTTTTCTTAGACCTAGTCGTAGCATATTATTTCATAGGACCAGAAAATGTCGAACGATCGTGAGAAAGCAGAACGTCTGGCTGCAATTGCCTCTGCTTCCACTATTGCACCGGAACTGCCTACTTCAATGCCCACAATTGAGGATGCTTTCACAAAGCTCATGGTAACAATCATCCTTATGCCGAGAAGCACTATTTCCTACATATGTAGCCATAAATAATAGTCTTCGTCTCAAAAATGTATGTGGTCGACTCCGCCTTCTGCCATCCCTTCCTTTGGCATACAATCTTGCAAAGAGTCTCTGAGAATCTGAAATCGTGTTCAGAATTTGAATTCGTTGATCCTTTAATTGGAAGCTTACGCCAACAAAATTTATGCTCTTTTAACTCTTGCTTCAGATTAATTTCCTTTTCAATTTGGCGACGTTCAGTTCAAAGCTGATGAAGTTATTTTCTAAATTCAAAGGGTTCCTATTAGGCCTCTGCTGCTGACGCTTTCAATGCTACTATCGCCCCACCCGAAAGCCACATAAGAACAAAGAGGGAAGTCCACGAGCAGAACTCGATCATAGGTCTGTTCAAGTTGTTTTCTTTTTGTGATCAATAATTCTTTTTTTATAGGTTTCATTGCTGTACTTGTTGCTTGTTGTATGTCCGGATTTGCTGGCATCTACTTCGAGAAGATTTTGAAGGGATCCAATGTTTCCATATGGATTCGAAATATCCAACTAGCTCTGCCATCCATCTTCTTTGCCTTGTTTTTTGCCTTTGTAAGTTCTTTTGCAATTCCTATAGTCCATTATTGTGCTCTTGAAAATATAAAAGAAAGGCATAGCTCTAAATCGCAGCAAAATTTGCCTAGTAGAAATTCTCTTGCCAAGAATTTAATCCTTTTTGTTCGTTTCCAAAATCATAGCGTGATGCTTTATAGGTAAAAGATAATAAAGAAATCTTCGCGGATGGAGGAGCACCATCAGCTATCTGGAACCGAATGCTTTACGGATTTGATTGGGCAGTATGGGTCACCATTGCAATTTCCGCCTTTGGAGGACTCGTCGTAGCTGTTGTAATCAAGTTTGCTGACAATATTTTGAAAGTAAGCAGGATTCTGATTCCGCATTGGCAATGAAGAGAATGTATTTTTCAAAATTGAACTTTGCAGGCGTTTGCTACCTCATTTGCCATTGTTCTGAACTGTATCCTTGCTTACTTCCTATTCAACTTCCGACCCACGATGTTCTTCGTCGTTGGAGCCTGTTTCGTCATTGGAGCGGTATTCGTCTACAGCATATATCCATACCGGTAAGTCGCAAAAAATATCATCCCCTTTTTCACCTCGCTTTCCAATCCTATTATTGTTGAGTTTTGACGCAACTCAGCTGCAATGTGGTAATTTGATAGGTTTGTCTACACATTAGAGACAAGTATCTCATTACAAAATGGTGCGTCAGTAGAAAATTTGGTACTGATGACTTTGAAATGTTAGTATTAATGAAGTCACTCAAAAAACTTTCTATTCTCATAGTAGTCGGTCCCATATATGTAGTGGAAAATCAGATTTCATCTGTTGCGCATTGTCTACTGAAATTGACGGTATTTTTAGCAAACGTACAACAATTCGAGTTTCTAGATTTGGTTGTTTTTCTTAGCAGCTCCTAAGAACATGTTCACCTTATTTTACCTTCTCTTATGATAGAAAGTGATATAGAAAATCGTTTTCGCAAACCAACGAATTTTGGTGTGATTGGGAGGAATTGCCCATTTGTTGCAAGCTTAGCGGTTAAAGGATAGGTCTTCGTCCTATAATCAGTGCTGGATCTTCATTGCTGAAAAATTGAGCTTCGCATCTTTTCCATTCAATACAGGCATAGGTAAATCTTGTACTGCTGTTTGGGCCTCGCCCTAACGATAAGCAGCAGAAGAATTACGATCTCAATGAAGACACAGTAGAATCATATCATCATCATATAGAAATTCAACTGCTTAACATCTTTTTTTAATGTATCCTAGCGTTGTAATGTTCGCAAGCGAATGTTTGTGCTTTTTATCTCCTCTCAAGTTATTGCGAAACACAACGTTGATTAATTTACACACATTCCAGAGTACGCCATGAACCGCTTCCAACAGATGAAGAGATGGCGAACATGAAGGAGAAAGACATGGCCAGAGAAACAGCCTAGTGTGGGTGAAGAACAGTCATCTAGTTCCCAAAGTGCTGAACAGCATTCTCTCTCCTTGCTAGGATTGAAACTTATGATTAGTGAAAGATAGAGTTTTTCACCTTTAAGCTCTGTATTTTCGGGTTTCCATTTCTGAATCCTCATTTGGAGCTGTCAAAATCCTTTCAATATTGAATCATATTTTTCCTGCATACTTTCACAAAAGATTTTCGCTGTTATAGATTCCGGTTCGACACCTACTGTCCTTCGGTGGTTAATCATTTAACGTGCCAAAAAAGCTAATTCCTATCATGGTACTTCTCACTTTCGATATCATTAGCCTTCACGTTTGTTCAATGTGCTTCTTGAGTAACCTCATTCTGTCAGGTGACAGATGTATACAGGATATGTTATTTGTTCAGAAATATCAGGAGTTGTAAACCAAACATTCTTCTGAATAAATTCTAAAGAAGATTGTAATCTATCGATGCATAGGACAAACGGATAACAACTTTGATTTATTATATTTTTTCGAGAGGTGTCTTGAAAAGTAGTGCGAGGCTGGTATCAATAAACTCCTGTACACATTGTTTATCTGGGCTTTGCTGACTACAGAAAGAAGAAAGGAGCAGTAAATAAAATTTTGGAGATTTGGGACACGAAAAACCATTAACTCAAATGATCCAAACTTATTCTTCACGCCTGCAAAAGATCTTGATTATGAAAATTCTTGCATTGGAAGTAATCTTATTCGCAGTATGCACATATGTGGAAAGGTTTGGGGAGAACTTCTAAATGCTTTCTTATAGGAGAAAATGTCTGAAGCCGGGGTTTTATTGTTGTTTGATCGCTGTTTGAAACATGCTAAATGCTAGACGCGTTTGATCGAGAGAGGACGAGATTTAGTCTAGGACTTGCGGTAAACATCGTCACGCCCAAATTAGGGATAGTCTGTCTTCATGCTGTTTTCGTTCCTTTTTGACACTCTCAGTGCGTCTGCGACAATCTGATTTTTCAGAAGTACTACTTCTTCTTTCTCAGATATTCTCAGATAATGTGCGATAATCCTCAAATGAGACTCCAGATTGATTTGTATGAATAATCCTGTCGCCGAAGCATTACACGAAACATAAATATGTGCATTCATAGTCATACAGGAAAAAGGTGTTGAACTGTTACGCTTTTCTATATTTCAAGTTCTTTATAACGATCTAACAATAAGTACGCGACCGTGAATGGAGGATTGCTCAGCTACTACTTCCACGAACACATCTTACAATTTCGGGAAACTCGCGCGATAATTCATCGAATTTGATTTACGCAGGGTCCAATCAGGAATACCAGTATATCTGTTTTCTTCCATTTGTAACTGGCCCACTCGCGCTTCGCTTTCGAGAAGTATTCGGATCACAAAGACGGTCTATCGTCTAAGTCGCAAGGTGTAATAACTTCGAATTGAGTGAGCTCGTTGTACTTATAGACTTCCTTCAAGCTTTGAAAGCTCCCGAATTTGGTCTACCCTAACCCTATTCCTGAGAATTCTTTCGATCGTTCATATTCAAGGAACGCTTCAAATTCAAGTCTAAGAAGTCATTTTCGATAGCGTCGGATAGCGTAAGATAGCGTCGTGCTTGCTTTTTATATTCTCGTTGAGGCGCTCTTCATGCACTATGTCTTCTTCCAATTCCGATCCTATCTCCTGCTATAGTTCCTTCAGTATAGTCCTTGCTTTGAGGAAAGATGGGATCCGCAAAGATTCAAAAGGGATCTTCTTAAATACTTCACCTCGGGGTCGGATCCAGAACTTTGGTGGGATAGTCACTATGATGCACTTTCTTCCTGCCTCAAAGGACAAGCGGATGATGGGGTAATAGGCATATTGCTGCTGAATAGTCCCCGTGGAAGTTGGTCAATGTTGGGTAGGATGAGGGCACACCTTGGTCATTCGGCTGTTAACTTGAAGTGTCCGACGCTATCAAAATTTTCATCGTAGTTCACAATATTGGGATGAGGGGTGAGCTATTTCTGACAGACTTCCTTGATCTAAAAAGCGCCTGATAGACTAGCTGAATGGACTTAATTTTTTGCAATTTGCAAGGGTCAGGCTCGGTATTTTTTGGATAATTCCCTGCCCTCCACTGGTTAGACTCTTATGCGCGACCTTACCGCCCTTGGCTTGAGCCAACTAAAGGTTTACAAATGTTTACTTTAAACATCCGAATGAAGCTTGCAAAGGTTTTGAACAAGATGGGTAATAATCACGTCCACATTACCAATAGTATACTCAAGCCCGGAATAGCTATAGTGAAAATCGGAATCCATGGACTTTTGAGACTCTGTCTAGAACCAAGATCTTTCCTTGTTTAACAGAAAAGTTAGCGTCTAAAGTCTTTGACCACACACCAGTTACCTGTATTACTAGTGTTACTAGTATTACTAAAGTTACTCGTATTACTAGTGTTACTCGTGTTACCCGTGTTAGTGTTACCAGTATTATCGTGTCACTAGCGTTAGTAGTGTTCAGGGCCCGGCACGCGTTGGTTTGAAGCGTTTCTGGAAACGAAGTCCCCCATGACTTCGCGAAAATTTACGAAGTCCCTCTTGACGTAAAAATCAGTAGGGAAACCCTTAATTAGTCAAAATAACATTAAAAAAGCGGAAAAAGCGCACTTTGAGGTAACTAATACAACAAAAAAAGCAAAAAGAAAACATTTCGAGTTGATTAAAGGCTCTATCATTGAGTAGTGTACCATTTTAGCGCTCAGAATGTCGAGAACCTCCTAGGCCAACCAAATCTGTGGCCTCAACTATCTGGCACTGCATTTTTCGCCACATAGTTCAAAAAACACCGCGTGTGATTGGAGCGCAATATCTATCAAAGCGTATAGATTTGCACTACTTTTGGCTCAAAAGAAGAGGAGAGGCAATAGTTTGATTCGCTCTCTTCACTATATAATAGATTTTTGTGCGTTTTAATCGTCCAAATCAAAAAGGTCCAAAACTTATGTGAACTCTCCGAAATTTATGCTCCGAACCAACCCAGTTGGTTCGGTGGTTGGTCTAGAAACCAACAAATCCGGAACGGATATTCAGACACATAAGTTTTGGGAACTTTTTACATAACATAGTTTGGAGTAATATTGTATACTCATAGCCCAAATTCGGAGCCATGTGATTGTTTGTGCGCTGTAAACAAGCCATTTGTTTGTTTGAGTCTTGCATTTGAAATTCGCGCGCTTGCGAAAGAAGTTCAACTCGTGAAAACCTGACATGTTCGTCGTGTTTTTTGGCGCTTCCTCCAGGACCTCATAAAAACGATGTCCCCGTTGCTTCTAACTCCAAAAACGAAGTCCAGTTTGACCCCAAACCATCGGTGCCGGGCCCTGGTAGTGTTGCTCATGTTACTCACGTCAGTGATATTGCGTTTTAAAATGAGTCTGTCTTGTGATCATTTCACTACTCAACAGCAATAAAAGCGTTAAACTGGTAACACGAGTAACGCGAGTAACACTGCTGATTTTCGGTTGAAGTTAAAGGTCAGCATGAATTATTTGAAAAAGCACACTCCTCACATGCGAAGAAAGTGCATTTAAGTCATGATATCAAAACAGCATAAAGTTGAGAAGGAGAAGAAGCTTTGAAACGTGCTGAAAAGATGTTCGCCTTTTTGAAAATAAAACATTTTGAGAACAAAGGTGAACCGGCGCACTGTGCGTCCGCCGCGGCTTACCGTTCCTGCGACGCCTGCCTGCGCTTTATGAGGATACCCTTGTAAGAACAAAATTATAACTGAAGGTTTATGAGCAAATTTATGTCCACCAAATGCGATTTTAGAACACACTTGCCTCGAGGTGGCACATGAGGCTTTCTTACCGCTATTTCGCCAAATTTTCATTCTGTGCGGTGCTGCTCATTCCATGATTCTTCGCCCATTCAAAATCATGAGAACTCGTTGATTTCTGCAAAGAATGTTTACTATCCACAAAAGCAAACTTTGAGTCATCTTAAGAGGGACCAGACGCCTTCATGCAGTCGGTGGGAACGACATTTTCCCTGGAATTTTAAGCATCTGTTTTGAAAGAAACAGTGCTTATGATGCACTCACAGTGCTTCGATTGCACGTTTGTGCTCTTACACTCCTCTGAACTTCTTCTATGATAGTAAATTGAGAGTCTTTACGCGTCCTTGTTCATCTTCAGCCAGTGATAGCCAAGAACCAATCAAAATTTGCAATACCAGTTCCCAGTCGATATCGTACAAAACCTTTGCGAACTTTATCCATTTTGGATCCATACAGCCCTCAGTGGTTCAAAGCCAGTGCGTCCAGAGAAATCAAAATTTTTCTGCTGCAAATTGTCACTTCACGGAAAATAGAACCAACATGGGAAGGATACCAATATTAGTTGGCAAATGAAGATGAGACGTATATCATTAGATGCGCCTTTGAATGCTGATTCCAAATCTGCTTTCCTTTTTTGCGGAATAAGTTTTCGAAAGAATTTATGAGCGTTTGAATGTCCAGATTTGCCAAGCATTGAGTGGCTTAAAATCAGCGAAAAGCCCTAAACAACGCCTATGAGATTTCCACAGACTTTGTTCCTTCTTTGCAAACAACATACTCGATACAAGAACGATTTTCCATTTTTCGGTGTTTTTGTACAGCTCTTCGCCAATTTTAGGCCACCTAAACCTTGGCAAATCTCGACATTTGAACGAACGCCCACAACTTCTTTCGGAAACTTATTCCGCAAAAAAGGAAAGCAGATTTGGAATCAGCGTCTAAAGGGGCGTCTACTGATATACATCCCATCTTCGATCGCCGACTAATGTTGGTATCCTTCCCTTGTGTGCTTCGACAATGGCCTGAGGTAAATTATTAACATCTGTTCTTCGCGCTGCCTTTGAGTTGCGATATGCATATTTCCATACATCCAAAGGAAAGGGAGCACATTTCTAGCAGAGAGTAAGTTGAGTAATTTTTGTAGAGTTTGGAGTCAGTGACCGGCTCTTCTGGATGAACTTTTCGAAAAATCGACAGTTTCGCTAGTTACGTTCTCTTTTGATCATTTCGGGGATGCATAGTTTCTTGTAAATAGAAATTATTATTGGTGAAGTTTTTCCAGAATTCTTTATCAGCTTAGAGCAGTATCTGGTGAATCATGTCTTCGAATCTCAGGTTTTCAAAATTGAAATTGCTTGACGTGAACTTAAGATGTGGACGCTTGACCATCTTTTTACTCCTGCCTACTTCATTCATACTCCAAACCTTTAATTTGCGCAAGAAGCAAGTCTTCCTGAATTATAGTTAGTTTTGTATGTGTATGTTGATCAAGTTGGAGTTTCGCAACATTTACGAAGACCTGTTTTTCAGTTTTCAAGTTGTTCGGTTTATGCTTTCAAATTTTGCGGTCGAAGTTTACGATTGTTCAAATGCCATCTTGTAAAGCATGCCTGGCTTTATGAAATGGTGTTCTTCTATAAATACGCACTACGCACTTCTATAAATACGCCGCAAGACTGAAGAACGAAATGGAGAACGTAAATCTATAAAGACTTTGACTTTTCCCTTCTTGTATATCCAACT